ATTTTGAAACATTCAGATCCATCCTCCACTTAGAACGCAAGTTCTCTACGCTATCGATGTCCAGATGGAGAGCCACACAGTCGCCTAGGTCCTTCAACGCACCATACCTGACGCAATCATTAGCGTACTGGCGTATTTAAGAAGAAATATTTGCAACAATGTCGTTGATAAATGTTTTTATAATAAATGTGATCCGAAAACAGAGACTTGTGGCCCGCCAGTAGAGGGATGAAATGACATAATTTGCCGTTAGTGAACAAATTAACCATCCGAGAACGTTATAATCTATCTTCAGTGCCTTTATTTCATCCTTTATGCTTTACTATTTGTTTTTTGATTATTGCCTCAAAGCTTTTCATTTCTGGATTGGTTTCTTTCAGCTGGTGAAACATTTTTGCATGCACACTGACTTCACCGTTCGTTGCATAGCAGCAAAAGCGCGCTTGTCGATAGGAGCCATTATTTCTTGTATCATGAGGCAAATCCGTAAATAGAAGTAACGACGGTCCCCATCGCAGCCCAAAGCTTCACATGTTGAGCAAGGTTCCGGACAAATCCAATGCTACCAGAGGCTCTCCGCAGAGCGTCGTCATTTAAATTGAAACGCTTCCTTCGAGTTCGCTCCCGAGTCGTTCGCTATACGCTGCAAATGGTATCGAGAATACGTTTCTTCTTCTTTCTATTCTGGGTAAGCTTCATTATCAAAGGATTAAGATTTGTAAATCGCCGCGTACGGTGGCACGCGGTTGCGCATGACTTCTGTGGGTTCAGGCAAACTCCTTTTTCTTGGTGCTGTTCCGCAAACGACGGCCGTTCTGCTGATACGAGGCTCTAATACGAAAAATAAGGGCCTCAGCGGTTTCCGTCGCGCTACAAAGAGAGTAACGGCACGAAGCGCGTTCAGTACATGAGTTTCATTTTCAAATAAGAAAATTATGCAACGTTGTTCATAGAATGTTTTATTTTCCAAGAATTCTGCATACCTTAATCTTTCTTTCGGTGGAATCCCCTTTCATGTTTAGGCATTTGTTTGTATAGTGGCACACGTTTTTGGATACCCTCGTCGTGGAAGTCTGCCGCCCGAGTCTTCAGTCGGCATCTTTAACATCCATTATGAAAACAATTTGTGCTGCGAAAGTGTTTTGCAATCATTTCATGCAGTAGGAATTTCTAAACTTCAGGGATATGTGTTGGCAAGATCAGACGTTGTAAAGCGTCGGTTTTCTATATTTTTTCTTTCACTTTCTCCACCAAATCGTGTGTGACCAGAGACGGCCCACTGCATTATGAACGCTCTTGTCGCCATTCATTAAATATTCTTACCCTTTTACACAATATTTTATCGCACACTGGGTTTAGTCTACAAATTTCACGGTTTCTCGGTAAATCTTTTATGGTCACTATGGTCTGACACTTGTCGTATTCAAAAATCTTTTCATGGACAGGTCATCGTTGTCGACAGGCCATTCTATGGCCTTAACATGATTATCGCGGTGCACGAACCATAAAAATTATCAGTCTCATAAAATGCCGTCAAGACGCGACTAATGGCTGAGGGAACCCAACTGCTCATTTGCGACTCAATAGTCAACATTCGCGTGGAACTTATCCGCGAACGCTACTTACTTTTTCGATGCGCTAAAAACCTTGAACGAAATCGCGAGGGTTTATGATTGCAGCGGAGAAATGTTTTTAATTGGAAGTGCATGTTATCTACAAAAGTAAATAATAATAATAATAATAATAATAATAATTTTTATTCAACAGGAAACCAGTAACGCAATACAAATACGGGTCTGTCAAAGCCATAGGAGGCTTGTGGGACATGACCCGGCAAGTCGAGCGACGAAACACTGAGCGTTTTATACAAGAAAAGCACACAACAAAACAAAAGTCGTAGGACGCAGGAAACACTGGAGCGAAAGCAACGTTATACGGCTAAATTATTTAACATGTTTTTTAATTGTTTCTTCGTGCTGGCTTTGATGACGTGCTCTGGAAGGTTGTTGAAGATGAAAGGCACATAATATGATCTAACTCTTTTCCCGTAACGTGTAGTACAACGAGGTATTATAAAACGCGATATGTGGCGAAGGTTCCTGTGGCCTACAAAAGGAGCCCTGAAATCGTTACTCCAGAAGTGGCGGAGTACCACACACTGCACAAAAATGGAAGAGAAGTTCGGCATCCGCAGAGATTCAAACACATTCACACCGGAAGAAAAATCCAGATGATACCCGACGCTCTTCAAAATGGCCCTCAAAATACGGTCAATTTTTGTTTGCCACAAATCCGAACAGTTTCCAAATAACGTGATACCATACCTTAGTATACTGTAACCAAGGGCATGCGCGACTGATTTCCTTACAAAAAACGGCATAAACACTCTGTGACTAAAAAGTAAACAGCTTATGCTACGAAGTTTACCACAAATGTACGACAGGTGAGAATTCCAAGACATATCTGAATCAAATAAAATACCCAAATACTTCACCTGATCTACATATTCCAGTGGAAAACAGTCACAGTTAGAGCACCTTGAGTTGTGCAAAGTCACTGGACAATCAAGGACGACATTTTTTAGGGGATTTCTAAAACAGACTAATTTTGTTTTCGACGAGTTGATTGTGATTAAATTCTCATCAAACCTGTCCATAATTCGCAGAGCGTCATCCTGCAGAAGCCGTACAGCATGACAATAATTCAAGTGGCGGGATACAAGTGCGGTGTCGTCTGCATACTGAAAAATACTACAACTAGTCACTCTGGCTGACATGCTGTTCACAAACAGGTTAAAAAGCAAAGGGGATAATACAGATCCCTGCGGAACACCGGCCTTAATCATCACCCGTGCGCTCTGAAAATTCCCAACAGATACAATTTGGGAACGACTTGAAAAAAAACTTTCTAGTATGGCAAAGAAAGGTAATGATAATAGTAATAATAACGACTGACTTACAACCGAGTGCATTATGACCTCTTGAGATATCTTACGACGAGAGAACACGAGCACGCTGGCGCCATCTATGACGTGGCCCTGGAACTGCATTTCACTAGAGCGAAGCTCTTGCAGTATTGCGAGATCAAATTTACGTACTCTCTATAAGAAATTGGCGTTTATAACATTGACAAAAGATTTCTCATGCCAAAAGTGAAGGAATGATGCGCAAAAAAACCTCTGAAATCGCAAGTGTTCCACGGCTGCCCGATACATGGCGCCAGGGTGTTTCTATTGTCTAGAGTTCCTGTATGTAGCTACCTATGGTAGCAGAGTTGCGCATTCAGCCTAGGCGGGTTGCCGTAGCGCAGGCTTTTCTGCACGGTCCTGGATGCTTTGCTTGTCACGTGACTGAATTTGTCGAATAGCGGCGCCGGGGGCGCCGCCGCGCATGGAAAACAAAAAAGGAGGAGGAGGAGGCGAAATCAGGGGAACATACATACAATACAATAAACTTTATTTTTCCAGAAGTACTGGAGGGGTCCCCAAACAAAAAGCTGCTAGAAGCTGCTTGACTGGGTCTGGGCCCCCTATACATGGCAACATACGCCGGGGCGCGTGCAACGTCGGCGGAGCGACCGTAGCGGTGGCTTTCCTGCACGGTGCTGAATGCTTTGCTCCTCACGTGATCGATCTCGGCGAATAGCGACGTGGCGGCGCGGGGAAAACAAATGCGCAACTCTGCTTCCCCTTCGTGGGAGCATATCCAGGAACTCTACAAATGTCTAGAGTTTCTAGACAGAGTCAGAGTGGCGCGTCTGTTTTCCACGCGCCGCCACGCCGCTATTCGCCGAATACGATCACGTGATAAACACAAATCCAGTGCTGTGCAGGAAAGCCTCCGCTACGGTCGCTCCGCAGCTCCGTTACCCGCTAGCCGCTAACTAGCCACTAGCTAACTGTGCATATATTTTTTGCTTTTGTATGAGGCCGTATATCATCCATTTCCCTGAAGTCCGTCGTCGTATCGATGCAAAAATGTGTGTAATAAAGAGCCAAGAACACTTTTACTTCTAGCGCCCGAAGTTGTTAGCTTATGAACACAAACACGAAAAACACAATAACCGCATAAAGAAAGCGGTCACACAAACTGGCTTCTTTTTCTCTTCCGGTGCCATTCGATCATGAAATCATGGATCCGAGCTAATTTATTACATAAGGTATGTTTTCCTTTGGGCTGGTGGGATAGCTTGTTTCTAAATGTTTATAATTTTGCCTCTTCCTCAAAAGATGAAATGAAAACCAAATGTTTTTTGTTTTTTTTAATACTGGTTTTTTAGCATTAAACTTGTTTTTAATAGATGACCAGCAACTTACTTACATATATCCGATTCACAGTCCCTTGTAAACGCTAAGCAGAAAATTAGCTGTCATTCAACCTACGCTGGGGCCTCGATGTTACAATAACTACATTAGATGCCTGCAGGCGGAATTAGTGTGGATACTGTAATAAAAACTTTGTGATAATTAATTGGCATCGGCAGGCCTAAACGATGCACGGGAGTGCTTTTTCATCAAGCTGAATTTGTCGGGAAAAAGTATACTTGAAAGTTTCTTTGCGTACCGTGTCGCCTGGCGCAATTTCTAAACACCTCGACGAAATATTTCCTGCAAGTTTATATCAATTGCGATATGGTCGCCGAAATGAGAACGGAAAGAACGAGCGCAAGACACCGGCCGAATTCGTCGGAGCACGGCTTTGTATGCGTGAAGGGTGGCTTTCGCGCATAACTTTAGATTTCAAGGTGGATGAAGGCACAACTCTGCTCCCTGCGGGAGCCTATATATAGCAACACTCTTGTCGTAAGAAATCACAGGGAGTCGTAGCGCACTCGGTCGTAAGCAGTCGCAAGTGTCTAAACTAGCCTTTCGACATCGTGCATAATAAGCATGGTATCGAGGGGCGTTTGGCCCAGTTGACTTGCCGAGCGTTTAAAGGATCTTTTCTGGCTGATACCCAAGTAAGAAAGACCCTTTGTGGTGCATTACCCGACTCGTGCAGTGCGCCCCCTGCTGGCGGTGGTGCGGCGCGGCGACACACCCCTCTCTGCCGAGATTCCGGTGGAGATCGTGTGCGAGGCGGTGGGCTCGAGGCCACCTGCGGCCATCACGTGGTGGCGCAACGGCGTCCAGCTGAACCAGACCTTCAACCACGTGTCGGCGGACGGCAACGAGAGCACGTCGGTGGTCAACTTCACGCCCACCAGCACCGACAACGGCCTGCAGCTCATGTGCCGCGCCCAGAACCCGCTGCTGCCCGGCGCCGTGGCCGAAGACGTCTGGGTCATGCGCATCTACTGTGAGTCTTCCCCCTAGAAAGCCGGTCGCGGTCCCGCGTTTGCCGTGCCGCTGCAAGGCACCTAAGCAACGGGGAACGTAGTTGAGATCTTCCCTTTTCTGGAGGCGCAGCGGAAACTAACTTCTTAATAGCCTTTTTCTCTTTTTAAGAAATACAAGTAAGAACTACATAGTATGACTACACCACTCTGCGGAGACCCTTTACTGAGAGAACACGACGAACGGATGACTTCCTGGGCCTTCTCTGGCTCTTGGCCAACATTGTCATTGGGCATGCAGCAAAAATAATCGATTGGTCCCATATTATTGACATAAGGGTATAAGTTCATTGAGCAAATTTGACACTGAAAGGAAGGGAGAAATATCGCAATGTGGCAATTACAAAAATTATGAGACGATTAGCTTGGCTTCCACTTTCATTTGTTGAGTCATGTAGAGAATATAGAGGATAGGCATCAGTGATACCCTCGAATAAGTCTGAGAGTTATTTAATCTTTATTTCTTGTGTCCATAAACAGCCGAAGCCTAAATGCTGGCACATGCAAATACACTCTTAAAACACACCAAAGCAACAAAATAACACAAACACACAAAGAAAAAAAAACATCAGCCTTAATAAAGCTGTATGTTTAGGGAATTCTTAGATGAGCGTTCATTATCGAAGATACCAACCTCCGCGCTAAGTGTGCGCTAAGTGTATTAAAACTACTTCCAGTGCGCAAGAGGGGGGAAAGTAAACATAGGTCATGCGCATAGAACGTGTTAGGGTTGCGATTTCTCACGCGTGGAACAAATAAAGAGAGCAGATACACAAGTTCGGAACAATTTAATGTTCCACGTACGGTTTTGTGTAAAAATACAGTCTCGAAAATTTTGCCGAGCTACTAATGCCTGCAAATTCATCATGTGTAACATTAACTCCTGACTAAAAAAACGAACCCGGCGACCATAATAACGGTTGTGCACAATGCGTGCCAGCCTCCTCTGAACATGCTCTAACCTCTCCGAGCATGCCACACTCAGAGAGTTCCAGACCACGGAGCCGAACTCAAGTTTTGAACGAACAATATAGATATGGAACCTAACAAGACACGACGACTCATTGAAATCGCGGGTTCTTCTCGAAAAGAAACCTAAAGGTCGCAAGCATGAACTGATCAAATTTGAGAAATGTTCAATAAACCTAAAGGCGCGCAGAATGAACAAACGCGCCCAAATCTCGCACACAATCCACTTGACGTAATGTTTTATTATCTACCTCTACAAAAAAGTTAATGAATTCCTTGCGCGATCAAAAAATGACAAGCTTTTTTCTTCTATTTAGACACACGTTTTGCCTGTCACACCATAACGAAATCGCAGAAATGTCGTTTTGCAAACGTTCACAATTAGCATCCGATTTGATGTGTCTGGAGATATTAATGTCATCCGCGAACTGGAGCAATTGGGAGCTATGATTATACTACCTAAACTTCATTTGTCGCAAGCCCAGCTTTGCCTCGCTGTGCGAAGTTTAGTTCAGAGTAGAGTAGAGACGACGCAAAATGAAGCCGGTACAAAGACGGTACAGATCAGCTCCGGCAGATGGGGGAAAATAGTGACCTCATCATCCTTGAGTAATGACAAATACAGGCGAGGAAGGATAATGCAACACCATTCTGGGGCGTTGAAGAAATAAGGCGATGTGTTTGTCCACGACCAGGGAAGCTAAATCCCGTTGTGAAGCCAATGACATATTGAGAGGACAAAGTCGTGCCATTTGAACCTTCTGCACTTCAGAACCGAAGGATGGGGTTAATTCACTCTCACGAGGTGCCAATTCTAGTGATTACAATAACGACTGAGAGAGGGCGGCATTTCGTGGAAGATTGTAGCGCCCTCGCACGTTAGTGGAAGCATTTACGGCGAGAGCTCATCGCTCAGTGAATACCGGGATTGGAAAGAGGCCCAGTCTATCGGTTCTGCGAGCGTAATGACTTCGCATTTGTAATTCGCTCGTATTCGACATCTTAAACGAGGACTGCCGGCGAAGGGGAATCTAGGCAAGGATTTTGCGCAAAATAAAAACACCAAGAATGGGCAACTCTCCTGCATTTTTCCGTCATACCACGCATTGGTTATTCTTTACTTCTCAGTCCAAGGTTTCTACCATGGACCAATACAAGCTCGACTGCCATATCACTGTCTCTTCTAGAACTCTAAATCTGAGGTGAAAAATATACACGCTGAAACAATTCATGCGTATTTCAGACAGGGGCTAAATCTGCCACTTTGGCTTACCAGTGATTAATTAGTACGGTGACAACTTGGTTACAAATACGAAGTTTTACTTTCTTTTTTTGCTGTTGTTGTTGTTTCACGTTGCACTTTATCGCCACGGCGTCTTGACTCTGGTCTCTGTGGTAGCAATAAATCGCGAGCCATCGTATTTGCTGTTTTTGCGTCAACTAACCTCAATGGTCATGAAGCTTAAGCGCGTTTGTGTATGCTTACTTCACAAGCGCGCACACAATCGCACCTCCGCAGTGGTCATTAAAAAAAAAGAAGATATACTTCTCTACTTCATTCAAACTACGTACTTAACTATCTTATGCTCGTGTTTCTGTTGAGCGTGCGTTTTTTCTGGTGTATGGGGGTGGTATAGGGTCCGGAACTTAGTTACAACGCGGGCACAGCCAAAATAGTGAATTGGGGTGATTTCTCTTGGCTGAGCACAAGCAACTGCAAATCATGTATTATTTATGATGACAGGCGATGTATGATTTCAAAGCAAAGCAATTAGTAACAACTACAAATGGCTTATTTTGCAGCACGAAGTAACAATACAGGCTCTAAAGCGATCTTTGACGGGGGAAGGAAAGGGGGGGGGGGGGGAGCAGTATGAAATGTACATTTTTAGAGCCACGTGCTAGCACCAGTATATTCCACTCAATTTACCACAGCGAATGGCACTATTCTGCTCACAGTTCGTAAATTTCTCCACGCAAGATTTCAACCACAATTTAAATAATTCTTCCATGTGCATGCCACTATTGTTTTCCTCCGCTGTCCAACGCGATTGAACTGTTGCGTTGTTTAGCACCAAAGATCAATATTGTTTTCGTTCTTTTAGTCGTGAAGCTTGTTTCAGCAACCTTTCGCGTCGTTTTCTGTTTCTCTCTGCAGTTCAAAAACAAATGATGGTTAGTGTTAGATGTTAACTTCACCTCGTGCGCTTGCAGCGCTCTAATTTGTGCTGATATACACTTTGGGTGCTCATTTTTCGGCTAATGAATCTGGTAGAAATGTACGAAGATTTTAGAAATCCGTTACCTTCAATCCAAGTTGCAGGTACAAATTCGATATATGTAAGACCTATCTGCTGTACGTTAGGATTGGGCGTAATGACAAACATTTGAGTATCTTGTATGGGACAAAGTCTGAGTAAAAACAAAAAATGCATGCACTGGAGTATCAGTATTTACGATGCATTTTTGAAGTATTGGGGGATTTGAAATACCGGGTACTTCAAGAAGTGCGTGTTTTGGTACCTGCTTGGTTTGTACCCGCTGTCCACGCTAACACAATTCAGTCACAAAATAAAGGGTTCTCCAAACAAAGACAACGTTCTAGGCGTGTTCTATATTTAGGTCAACAAAAATCTAACCTGTTTCAAAGTGTCTTAACCTGCTGATTGATTTATGATTTCGCCTCCTCTAATGTTCGTTTCTTGATGTGCCTCAGAGCAAAGGCTCTGATTACATATTGGTGCACATACACCTGCAGTTCATTTCCAAAGCTAATTATAACGTTTACTTGCGTATTCTAGAAATATTAGTTTCAGCGTAGTTGATACGAGGCCCTGTGATCGCTTCTGAATAATAAATTAAAAACGAGCAACGTTTACGGTTATATTTCCTAATAGAGAGCGGGGAGGAAAGGGGCATTCTTATTTCACAGACTCACAACCTTTGCCTTGGCTTTTTTTTGTTTGTTTTATTAACGAATTTGTAGAAACCAATGGATCTCTGCATTTCATCAACAGAGGAAACAATTAACTCTCACATCATTTGAAGAAGCCTGCGCAAAGGCTGTGTGTGGTTTTTGTAAGGCATATCTTCTTGAAACTCTAATTTCATAATTCACGAAATTGTGTAGTCAATAGAAAGCCTAATATTTTTGTCTAGTTCTAAAAAGTCAAATCTTGCGTTCATTGTGTCGGAAGGATTGAAGAGCTTTTTATATTGAAGGGATCATTTGGTCAAATACCTCACAGAATTTACTACTTGTCCTGGTGAAACAAGTTGCATGAATGTGTTCAATAAACGTTGCAACAAATATTGGATAATGCAGGAACTATAACCAGGCTTTCGACTTTATAGTTGTTACCTTTCTCTTCAATATAAGGTCAACTGTACTCAAATATGTGATAGATAATTAGCTGGGAGGTCTGCTTGTTTCAGAGCGTACACCGCTGTCAGTTAAAAAGTTTTGAACAATAAAAAGAACGGTAGAGAAATGTGAAGTGAAATATTACAAAAATAAAACAAGAATTATATTTAAAATAATAATACTTTATTTTCTTGTAGTGTCCAAAAACACCCATAGAAGCCTTCTTATTGGAACACTGCAAACAAAAAAAGAAACCAAAGCATTGACCGAATACATTATTAGGACACTGAACAGTTTCACATAAAAACAGTATAAGCATTACTATCATGAACACGACTATTCAGTGCATATCCATCAACACAGTATAACATTTACTATCAAAAACACGATTATACTGTACAAATTCATCGAAGTGCTTTTACAAAAATTATACGCTTGTACTCTAAAAAAGAAAAACAAGAGCAGGGAAGCAAGCAAAACAAAACATCATATGCCATCGATATTTTACTTTTCCCAAGAAATTATCTGCATATATGTCCATATCGGGGTCAGAAATGGCAATTTATACCGTATTTACTCGACTAATAGCCGCACTATTTATGAGCAAGGCCTTTCCGTCTACTTCCCCGC